CACCACATCTGCTCCAAGATGGAGGGCTGCTCCCAGCACATCGATGGTGACCCCAATCTAAACCAACGATACAGGGTCTGGAGAAGCCAGTGAACCAGACCCTCATAACCATGCACATGCCAGTCGCTGACATCTGCTGCACACCCATTGCCTCCCAGCTGGCTAGCCTGGCCCTGTTGGTGTCTGGCAACATGTCTGGATGGATCAGGGTTATGGTGGACACCATGTCCACCAGGGCTTGGCAGGGCATCTCATGAGGCAGTCAATATACAGATCGGTAGCCTTGCCGAGTTGTCCCACTCTGGGTGCGGCTGCAGGGGTTGAACTGATGTATGTTGTGGGATGCTCTCCCCTTGCTGCGCCACCTGCCCAGCTATTTCTGGTTGCTGTTTGGTGCATGGGCGTGGCACTGGAACAGGGCAGTTGCAAGCAATGTGACCTGCTTCCCCACAGCAGAAGCAGAGCAGGTGACGCTGGGGGCAAGGTTGGAGGCACGGCACAGGAGCAGCAGCTCATACATCCTCAACTAACTCTTCTCCCTTAGCTCTCTCTGCAGTGCAGGTTTGGTTCTGTGGTGGGGAGGGCACTGTGGCCTCTTCTGTCAAAGCAAGGAAGCTTCAAGAGGGTCTTTGCAACCAACTGAGTTTCTGGTCTCCTCAGAGTCACTGCACTGCCTTGGGGGGTTCTCTTCTACCTCCTTGCGAAGCTCCTCCACCCACATTTCCAATTCTGACATCACTGTAGCACCACTGGTAGATGGGCCAGGCTGTTTGGCACAACTGATGAGGTGGGGGATAGTTCATTTATCATTTTAACCACCAGGTGGCTTTATTGCACCCATACCACACACACAACACTTACACACTGCCCTGACTACTCCTAACATACATGGTGGGCACACACAGACACACCACTATTTACAACAAATAACATTAAACAGTACAGGATACATTACGATATGCACAATAAAGGCACAATAGATGCTAACTATACTTGACTATTTACATTATGCACATGGCTGGCCCTGGTCCAATATACCAAGCTGCTTGATGGATCCCACCAGCACTACAATACATTTCTTGACATGAAAGGATCAGCTCCAAACTCAGATATTTTTATGGAAATTCAACTAACATGCTAACTCATTTTAGATGACATCATCCAAGTGTGTGCTTTTGCCAGGAAATTCTGGAGGTAAAACATGGCTATTGCAGTTGTATTGATCATATTGTGATGTGCAGATTGGCTTATCTGTTATCACGCTAATTGATGAGGGAGGGAACAGCAAATATGCATTAATAATAATATATGACAATTACACAAAACTATTTACACTATTTATATTTGCTTACAGGGCTGCCTGAAGAGACAAGACATTCCATGCACCTACCTGAATGAGCTGTCTCACACATGCAGTGGGCGACTCCTCAGCACCACACCCCGATCCCCATCAAGCCTGACCCTATTAGCTCTCCAACAGTTTTGATTCTTCTGGGGAACTCCCTCTTCCCCTTCATGATGTGTACAGCCTTCCTGTGGGCAGCTGCAACAGAACTACTCTTGAGGAGAACAGGTGTCACGCCTGTTTGGACCTAGCTGCTGTGAAGTGTTTTACTGTGACTGGAGTACCAATTCCATTACCAACCTCCACAATTTTGTCCCTGAATGATGGAGGATCACTTGCAGGGTCAGATACAGTTTAACATCATACCTAGGACAATGCACAAAAACACAAAACCCCAAAAAAATTGTGACACAAAAAATAATTTAAATCCACTTGATTAAATCATAATGCAAATTATGTTTCTACTAGTATGTGTTATATTCAAACGTTTATAATCTCTGGAGAAAAATAACTTAGCTGGATTTAGGCATGTGAGAACTATAAATCCTAATTAATATATATCACCCATACTTTTAATAGACATGGAATTGATCAGTGAAATGACTACTTAGTGCCACAAGAGGGTGACAAGGTCACACAGACTTGAGAGAGAGGTAAGGCGCATGCACTGATTACAGTGTGTTGCCGCACTCACCACACAAAAAACCACCTCTGGGATGAGAACCTGAGTGCAGCCATGTGGCAGATAATTCCTCAGCACCACACTAGTTGAAATGAACCATTGTGAGGTTTTTTCCAGTGGCTGGAGTGCCAATCCTGCCACCAACCCCCAGGTTATTCTGTGCAAGTTGGAGTACCACCAAATAGGGTTGGATGTAGATTTAAATCATACCCAGGAAAAAGTAATTGCAGGTTAAGGGCCTTGCTCAAGGGCCCAATCAAGTAGAATCACAAAGGGCATTCACAGTATTTGAATCAGCAACCTTCCAGTTGCTGATACAGATCCCAAGCCTCAGAGCCACCACTCCATCTATCAGACTTGAATTGGCAGAAATTAATAAATTAGAAATTGATTAATGGACTATTGTAAACTGGCAAAAACTGTAAGAACTGGAAGAATCTTACTTTAATAAAAATTGATATATGTACATATTTCACATTGAAATATGTAGGAATACATAGATTTAAGTGCATTCAATGCATAAATGCTTTTATAATGCTTAAATCACAATATTCTAAATGAAAATAGCCTTGAAAAATGTATTTTAATTTAAACATTGATATAATGCATCACTTTTTAAAAGTTAAACTTTAGATTTATTACAACTATTCAATGATTAGCGATTGGTATTGTGTTTACACAGTATATATTGAGGATTTAATGTATTGATAGATTTTCACTGGTTCTGGGGGCCTGGGAGTCAGTGCCCATTTCTGGGATACTGATGAGAAGACTGGAAATAACTCTAATTAAAGACACTCATAACACTTTAGTAGGTGTGACGACCGGCAAGCAGACAGGAGGCAGACCCCGCATTGCTGGAGAACAGGCAGTTTATTAAGTGGTTGGGTGCAAACAAAGCCAAGAGGAAAATCCAAGGTCGTGGTCAAGTCGGAAGCGCGAGGTCGTAAGCCGGGGAGATCAGTCCTACAGACAGGCACATGACGAAACGACAAAGGCGAAGGAGGAACGATGGTGATGGGTCGGGAGCGCAGGACAGGGCAGGCAGGCAGGGCAGGTGGGATCGGGCAGGCAGGCAGGGCAGGTGGGATCGGGTAGGCAGGCAGGGCAGGAGAGACAGGCAGGGCAGGTGAGACAGGCAGGGCAGGTGAGACAGGCAGGCAGGACGCAGCAGGCAGGGCAAGCGGGAAAGACAAAAGGCAGAATAACGCTTGGTAATGCTCCAGACCATGGTAACAATACTTCGCAATGTTTCCGAGAAATCAGCCGCTTTATAAAGCGGAGCTAACGAGCAGAAATTACCTGCCACTGTTACTTCCCGTGACACAACCCCCTCCCACCCCAATGGCTGCCTCCTGGAGGCCGGACAGGTCGACGCGGACGCCCCACGGCCGGGGAGTGGGTTTGGATGGGTGGGTGTGGTGGAAGTCAGGGACCATGCCAGGGTCCAGGACATCCTTCGCGGGCACCCAGGATCGTTCCTCTGGACCGAACCCCTCCCAATCCACCAGGTATTGCGGTGGTCTGTGAAGACCAGGAACGTGGTGTCGGGCCCCCTCCAGCCAGTGTCTCCACTCCTCCAGAGCAAGTTTAATGGCTAGGAGCTCTCGATCCCCTACATCATAGTTGCGCTCAGCTGGCGAATGAACGTGAACGTGCTCTACATGCTGAGGAAAGGAAGGAGAGTAAATCAAGATGTCATCAATATAAACCACCACAAATGGGTTGATCATGTCTTTGAACACAGTATACATGACATTTTGAAATATGGACGGACTATTGGCTAGCCCATAAGTCATCACCTGATATTCAAATTGTCCCATGTTGGTAATGAAGGAAGTCTTCCATTCATCTCCTTGTCGAATACAGACCAGATTACAGGTCCTGCGTAGGTCTGGCTTTGTGAACACCTTTCCCTCGCAGAGTTGTTCCAATGTTGAGGGGATCAAGGGCAATGGTTCGCAATGCTTAACAGTAATGGCGTTGAGCGCCCGGTAATCAATACCTGGGCGTAATCCCCCATCCTTCTTCTTTAAGAAGAAGAACCCTGCAGTCACTGGAGAGGTTGACGAACGGATGATACCTTGTTTCAGGCCGTCCCGGATATAGGCGTCCATGGCCTCCTCTTTATTCAAGGACAGTGGGTAGAGGCAACCTTTAGGGAGTGGTGCCCCCTCTAGGAGGTCAATGGCACAGTCACACTCCCTGTGAGGTGGCAGCTGGAAGGAGAGAGATTTACTAAACACGTCAGCAAAATCCGCGTATTTGGCCTGGATGACGGATAGGTCCTCCGGGTTTAGACTCTCCACCAGTGACGCACAGCAAGGTAGGGAAAGACATTGGGAGAAACAAGGGGCTGACCAGGCAGTGATCTCACCCATAGACCAATCAATGTGGGGGTTATGTTCTTATAACCATGGGTGTCCCAGAATTAAGGGATCCTTAGTATTGGGAAGCACCAATAAATCGATGGTCTCCATGTGGAGGAGCCCCACTCTCAAGGTCAAAGATCCCATGTGATGTGTGACTCTCCCTTCATGCAGGGGTTCTCCACTGATACCCAGGACAGTGGCTGTTTGTGAACCTGGGACACTTCCATAAAAGCAGATATAGCTACCTTCACTGAGTCTTCAGGACGTGATGGGCATATGGGGCAGGTTCAGTTTAACAGGTATTGTTGTAATCATACTCACAGACGATGCCTCCAACATATAATTGCGTGTAGGATGGCCTTAGATGCACATATTAACTGGTGCACCATGTGTTTTTCTGTTGCTAAACATAGAACTAACTCAACCCAAAGGGAAGTGGCGCTAAAGGCAACCCCAAGTAACAGCACCACCTGCAGGCTAGGAGTACATTAACACAATAACAGAACAGTCTAGTTTACAATAACTAGTAACATTAAAGCACTAAAACAATCAAAACAGTAGTGCAAATTGAGCTCTTCTGCTACTAAGCAAATAGCCTGGGCTACTCCTCACAGAGATCCTCTACCTCGCTTTGCTCAGTCTCACTGTCGTCACTTTTATGTTCCACCGGACCCTCCCACAGAATGTCATCCTCACTCCCATCCAGTGCATCTGATATACAGCATTTCTTAAATCCATGAGTGATGCTTTCTGGTGACACGGTATCCCATGCTTGGAGGATCCATTCACATAGCAGACGCACTGCTGGCTTCTGAATTTTCCCGGCCGGTGTTAGTGCGTGGTTACCTGACAGGAGCAACTCTGTGTACCTCTTGTGCAGATTATCCTTGAATGGCTTGTTGATGACAATATCCAACACCTGCAGCTGGCTTGTCATTCTTCCCGGAATGATCACTAGGTCGTCGTTCATTTTCTGCACTTGAGTTTTAACTGGCTCCGTCAGGTGCCCCCAGAATGCATCCAGAACGAGCATGTTCCTCTTTTTAAAAAGCGCGCCAGGGTGCCTGCCCCACACAACCTTGAGCCAGTCTAACACCAGTTCAGTGTCCAACCAGTCCCTCTCCTGTGTACGCACAATAATGCCAGCTGGTATGACATCCTTGGGGACAGTCTTGCGCTTCAGAATCACGTATGGTGGGAGTTTAGTTCCATCTGCAAGACATGCCAACATGCCGTGATCCTGTTTTTCTCATTCCCCATCGTCCTCACAATGACTGATTTGTCACCTCTTTTAGCAACAGTAACAGATGTTGGCATATCGAAAAACACTGGGGTTTGATCGGCATTGCCTATGTGGTCGAGGGGGTATAAGTGCATTTTCCTTAGTTTGATCACGCACCGCGGAAAAGACAGCAGCTTCTCTTCGAAGTCTGTGGGCAGGTGCTGGGCAAGGCTTATTCTGCGACGAAGTGACAGTCCATTGCGCCGCATCATTCTTTTACACCACCCGAGACTAGCTTTAAATTAATTTGTGGGTATATTCAGCTCCTTGGCTATCTCCAAAGCCTTTAGCTGTATTATGGCTCTGATTATGGGCATTCCATCTTTACATTTTTCTGTCACATATTCACAGACTCTCCTGTCAATTTCTTGGAAACGTCCGCATTGAGGGCCGCGGAAAGACTTTCTTTGACTGTTAGCATTTTTAAGACGTTCTTTCTGGGCTCGCCACCGACGAACATTGCACTCCGTGACCCCATATTTTCTGGCAGCTTGAGAGTTACTTGAGGATTCGGCCGCGTTCACTACTGAAATTTTGAAATTGGAGTCATAACTCTGTCTAGGATGTTGGTTAATTTGACGAGCCTTCGAAACACTTTGTTCAAGATAATCTCTTGACATCTTCATTATTCAGTGTTGTGGCATTGTTGTGAGAGACGGTGGCCGATTCAGTAAAAACGCGAATAAGACGGCCGCGAATATAAGACGACCCCCCCTTTTTAAGAGGTATTTTTAGAACAAAAACTGCGTCTTATATTCGGGCCAATACGGTAATCTTCAAAGGATAGCGTGGCACTGCGAGATGCCAGCTCGTCTAGGATCCCTGGGTTCAGGGCGCGACGGTACATTATTCCTACAACGGGTGATCGAAGATTTCAGTGAACGCACTGGATCCAAAAGTGGGCTGTCGTCGGTCCATAAGGCAGTGGCCTAATTGCGTGCTCGTCTGGTCAACAATGAAATGATGAAGCGAACACGAGCAGCATCCATCCACAAAATGGTCAGGATATTCTTCGATGAACAGCCCACACTGCATCAAGAAAGCCCTGCAATGATCCGGGTTGTCATTATATTTCTCAGGCATAGCCTGAGGAACAGGAGCGGAAGCCCTCGGGGGAGAGGCAGGCAGATTGACCTGGGATACCAGGGAAGTCAGCTGATCTACCTGTTGTTGAAGTCGCTGGGTCTCCACTGGGTTCATACTTTCATGGCGAAGTATTCTGTGACGACTGGCATTGCTGGAGAACAGGCAATTTATTAAGTAGTCGGGTGCAAACAAAGCCAAGAGGGAAATCCAAGGTTGTGGTCGGGACAGAAGCAGGAGGTCGTAAGCTGGGGAGATCAGTCCTACAGACGGGACAAGATGACGAAGGGGAAGGAGGAACGATGGTGATGGGTCGGGAGTGCAGGACGTGGCAGGCAGGCAGGGCAGGTGGGTAGTTTCGCATGTCCGGGCGGCTCTCATCCAGAAGCAGAAAGTGAAAGCCAAAAAAGGCGGCACTACCAGCCTCATTTGGAGCATCTCCTGAGTAAAAGTGAAACTGTGGGAGGTTGTGAACAAAGTGATATTTGCCTTCTTCACGATATTGATGCTGTTTATTTTATTTTGAGGGTGGTCTGCGCTTAGAAGACAGCAAGAGCTGGACAGGATGCTGGGGTCAGCTTGGGTCAGGGCTGAACATAGTGTTAAAAGTATGGAAGCTAATCCTTTTCAAAGCGGACCAGCAGACGTTTCACAATACTTACTGTATTTAAGAAAGTATATGCTAAGCATAATAGTAAGAAAAGCAAATAAATTAATCCTGGAAATGATAGAATAGCCCTAATATCAATTTTGATATTTACAATGAAAATTACTTGTTTCAAATCTCATTTTCTGTTTATTTAGTAGGTTGCAATTCTAATGTATTACAAAAATAGACGGTTCCATATGTAGTGTCGTCACGTTGGTTCCTGGCTAATGTGCGCACTAGATCTTGAGCCTGTTGTCTGAAGTGTAAGTTGGGTTGTTAGTTACAAAAACGTTGTAAAACGTGTGCAACCATCTCGTTATTGAAGAACACCACATAATTGGTGACGAGTAAAAGCGGCTGTATTGGACAGTAGCGACTGATGATGGGAAACTTTGTCAAGCCAGATGAATTCAAGTCCGAAAATGAGCAGTGGATGGCATATGTGGAACGTATGGAGCTCTTTTTCGAGGCATATGACATCGAAGATGATAAAAAGGTGGCCACCGTGTTGAGTGCTATTGACGCTTCAACATATAGTCTTTTACGGAATCTAGTCCAACCCCAGAAGCCCAGAGAGAAGACTTTTCAACAGATTGTGGACATCCTACAGGGGTATTATGAGCCCAAACCACTTGTCGTAGCTGAGCGGTTAAGGTTCCAACGGTGTGTTCAGAAGAATAACGCAACAGTTGCCCAGTTTGCAGCTGAACTGAAGCAGCTGGCGGCTCGGTGAAATTTCGGCGAAAGGCTGGACAAGGTTTTGCGCGACAGGTTCGTCAGTGGGATTCATGATGAATCGTGACAGCGCAAATTGCTTTCGATGGATGGACTGACATTTGCGAAGGCTCTGGAGGTGGCGCTCGTCATGGAGGCAGCCCACTGAGACACACAGCAGTTGAGGCAAGGAGAGCCTCCCCCAACCTGTGTTCATAAGGTCAATGAGGAACGACCACCCTCTAAGCCAGCCTGGGCGGTGTGTTATAGATGCTACGGGAAGAATCACGGCGCAAGTGAGTGCTACTTTAAAAACACTAAATGCCATAAATGCGGTAAGATTGGCCACATACAGAAAGTGTGTAAGGCTAGCGAGTGGAGGGGAAGGCAGAAGAAAAACCAACAAAAAGTTACGGGTTATGTGCAAGCAGATGAAGCAGAGGTGTTCAGCGTAAATGAAACAGACAGACAGGCATTCAAAGTAAATTTTGCAGTTAATCAGAAAAATGTTCTGATGGAAATAGATACGGGGGCCGCAGTTAGTATAATATCGGAGACAATGTACAAGAAGTCATTTGTGCATATATATATGTGTTACACAGGTCAGGTTATCCCGGTAAGAGGGCAGTTCTTAGCCAAAGTAGCTTACGGAAATCAGACCGCTGATTTGCCGTTAATAGTAGTAAAAGGCAATGGGCCTTCAATTTGTGGTTGTCACGTATGCCGCTGTCCGAGACCAAGGACGCTGGGACAGAGATGGCCTCTGCCTACATAGACGCATTAATATGTGACCATCTGGAGGGCGTACCGCTAAGCGCAAAACAGATTGCCAAGGTGACCAGAAATGATAAAGACCAAAAGAAATTTCTGACGAACTAAGAGGGTTAGGGTTAGGGTTGCATGATGCATGATGAACTCTCTGTGGAGCAAGGGTGTGTGCTGTGGGGCACAAGAGTGATTGTACCAGCAAAACTTAAAGAAAGCAGTGCTTAAAGAAATCCACAGTGGGCACCCTGGCATTCTGAAAATGAAGGAAATCGCACAACAGTATGCCTGGTGGCCACATGGTGACATGGGCATTGAAAAGGTCTGCAAAGAGTGTGAGACATGCCAGTTGGAGCAAAACAAGCCGCACCAAGTACCCCTGCATCTGTGTGAGTTCCCAGGAGGTGTTTGGAGGAGGCTTCACGTCGACTTTGCAGGGCTGTTCATGGGTCACATGTTCATGATTGTAGTCAACACATTCTCAAAGTGGCTGGAAGTATATAAAATGACGCAAATAACTTCTGCCGCAGCCATTACTAGACTAAAGACGCTGTTTGCATCATAAGGTGTTCCAGAACAAATCATCACAGATAATGCAACAACTTTTATGTCTGATGAGTTCCAGCAGTTTGTGAGAAGAAATGTAATTATCCACACAACCGGAGCTCCAAAGCCACAAACGGACTAGCTGAAAGATACATCTCAACATTCAAGACTGGCCTGAAAAAGCTAGCAAGGGAGAATCTGAGCACTGAAGACAAAATTTCCCACTTCTTGTTGCAGTACCGTACCACTCCCAACAGTACGACTGGGGAGTCGCCTGCCAGTTTGTTTCTGAAAAGGCATGTCAGAACTAGATTAGACTTCTTGAAACCCAGCATCAAGGAAACGGTGAGGAAGAAGCAGTATCTTCAGAAGGAAGGACATGACAAAAGGGCTTTGGAGAGGCAGTTTGATGTGGACGAACGGGTATATCTGCGAAATACAGCAGGAGGAAACCCAAAGTGGATTCCAGGAGTAGTTACCCAGCAGTCAGGACCTGTGTTGTACAAAGTGCGTGGAGAAGTGACGGACCAGGAATACCCACGTCATGGGGACCAGCTGAGGCCACGTCATTCTGCAGAGTTTCCAGGTCAACAACCTGATGAGGGAGTAGCTGAGATGATTGAATAATTCCAGAGCAGCATCCTCAGCATCAGAACTGCTAAAGTCAGCAGAGGCACCTGATCCTGTAGCAGTGACCTTAAGGCGCTCCCAGTGTACTCCAAAAGTGCCACAACGCTACCAAGACTGAAAAAGCTTAGAGAGATTGCTGATTTCAGTTAATTAAAGGTTGTGATTTAAGTTAATTGAGCTAGGTGCATGATGTTGATAGTCCCAATTATGAAGTAAATGCGTTGTGGCGATACATGGTATTCTAGTTGAAATGTTATATTGCAGTACCTTGGACTAAAAGGGGAGGTGATGTGGTATATTGAACTCTTAGGCTCACCGTACTTCCAAGTTGAAAGGTGACTGTCGTCACATTGGTTCCCGGCTAATGTGTGCGCCAGATCGCGAGCCTGTTGTCTGAAGTGCAAGATCAGTTGTTAGTTACAATAAAGTTGTAAAACGTGTGCATCCATCTTGTTATTAAGGAACACCACAGTGAATGTGTGACGATATGTGATGTATATGCTGTGCTTTCTCAGGTAACCATTACTAAACTAGTATCAGGCTCTGTATCTATCTGTCCCAGCCTTTTGTGTCTCCTTCCCGTTTGGCCAGCAGATGTCACTTGCCATCTTGTCCTCCCCATTGTTTAAGTCCTTAGTGTGTTTCCCTAGCTCCTCAGACTGTTGCATGGTTCTATGGGTTGAGCATGTATCTCTAAACCCCTCAGTTGTGTGTTTGAGTCCACCCACCTCTATTTTTGTATTTTGTTTCCTAGTGTTTCATTTGTACCAGTTTTTCTAGTTCCTGTGTTTTGTGGCTTACATTCTTTTTTGATTTTTTGCTTTGTGCCCTTGGTGGTGTTTTACCTGTCTGTGTTATTTTCCTAGTGTTTGGATTCTGTTCCCTACGTTCTGAGTTCCTTGATTTAATTATTAGTTTCACCTGTTGCCCATTTTGCCAGTCCTTGTTGATTGTTCTGTTGCTAGTTGTCATGTGTTGATTGCTTAATTGTTTTATGTCTCACTCTTCCTGCGTCGCTACCTGATTCAGTTTGTGTATTTATTTTCCTGCCTTAATTCTGGAAGTTAGTCTGTGTTGTTTTAGGAGTTTGTGCTATGTTTCCTTGCCTGTTCTTTTGGCGTAAACAGAATGAGAACATGGATCCATCATGCTGTCACACCCTGCTCCGTACGATCCCGATGTGTGCCACGCCCCCCTCATTACCTCGTGTTCAATCCTGATTGTGCTCGCCTG